GAAAAAAAGGCAACTATGAGTAGAAATTTGTGTGTTTGTGTGTGTGAGAGAGAGAAACAGAGACAGGGAGACAGGAAAGGGCCGCGTGTGGTGGCTCACACCTGTAATCGCAACACTTTAGGAGGCCGAAGTGGGTGGATCACCTGAGTTCAGGAGTTCAAGACCAGCCTGGCCAACATGGCGAAACCCCATCTCTACTAAAAAATATACAAAAAAATAGCCAGGTGTGGTGGCGCGTGCCTGTAATCCCAACTACTTGGGAGGCTGAGACAGGAGAATCACTGAAACTCAGGAGGCAGAGGTTTCAGTGAGCAGAGATAGAGCCACTGCACTCCAGCCTGGGCGACAGAGCAAGACTCCATCTCAAAAACAAAGAAAAAGAAGAGACAGGAAAGCCCATCACCACTGGGTGAAGACTGAATTAGGCTCTCATCAAAAATCTCCAGGCATCCCATTCTAATTAGAATACAATTCAAATTCCACAAAATCTGCCTTCCTATCTTACTGACTGCATCTCCTCCCACTCCCTCTTTTGCACTCTTTTTTCACTACCTGTTGTCTTAACTACTCTCTTCTCACACTGCACCTTCTGTTTCTCAAACAGCCCAAATTCATTCATGCCTCAGGGCCTTTGCAGGTGCTGGTACCTCTATCTGCCATGCCCTTAACCTTCTGTGCTCCACTTGCCTGGCTCCTTCTCATCATTCACATCTCAGCTCAAATATCCCCTCCTCGGATAAGCTCTCTGACTGCTCTAAAGTAGCTTCCTCTATACCCCTCTCGATCACACCTCCTTAATGTACTGTCTTTGTGACACTCATTCTATCTGAAATACAGTTTCATGTACTTGTATCTTATTTATTGACTCTGTCCCCATAAAACGTATGCTCTGTAAGAGCAGGGGCTCTGCTGTGTCCAACAGGGGACACAGCAAAGCCCCTGTGTCCCCCCGCCCCCCGCTCCCCTGCCACAAGAACACTTCTTGTTACATGGTGGACACTCAGTAAATGTAGGTTGACCATTAGGGAAGTCCCACCTCAATGATCACATGGAATATCACCCAAAGTCCTCTGAAAAAAACACTTTCTGCTCCCTCGTTGCCTCCATCTTTCAGCATAGTGACTCTGACCCACAGCCATAAGAACTCCAGGCCTGTTTCCACAACGTGTGGAAGGTGAGAATAACCCTGCCGCCTCTGGAGGAATCTCCAGCTTCCCTGCCATCTCCTCATCTGGGGGCCTTGTTCTTATCATCTCCTAAAGATCTTTCCATTCCCAACCAAATAAAAAGTAAATCAATGTTTAAAACATCTTTCAAAGCCCAGCATTAAATACACTGGAAAGTATGCAATGATGCTATCTGTATACTTTGTCTTAGGCCAAGCATATAAGAAGGGGAAAAAGAAAATGGGGGAGAAGGTAACTTTTCACTCAGCTTTTCAATGTTTTTAAGAAAATCTCCTATGGGCTAGGTGCTTTCCTTTCCCTCCTTCTCAGTGGTCAAGGAAGAGGAAAGCCCCTGGTCAGATACGAAAGTTTGTGGCAGTAAAAAGGTAAACTGGACAATCCCCCCAGATGACCAAAATCTCTCCAAGAAAAAGAAACATGGGCACAAGGAAGAAAACCAGGTCTTACTGATCCTGTTATCTTTTACTTTCACAACCTCACTGCCAGAATCTCAGCACTTCTTAGCCTGATTATGGGACAGTGAAGTTCCTGACCAAGTCTGAGACACTATAGCTAATTCAATACTGAGGTGTCACCATCAGGGGAAAGAACTCCAGCTACCCCACAATGGTGTGGGTAACCCCTAAGGGTTAAATTGGAAACTGTGATGTGTGACGTGTGCCATTATCCATCACAGTTGGGACAGACAGGAGAGAATGTTTCATTTCAACTGTGAGGGTGGGGATGTAACCCTGGGAAAATGTCTTCCAGGTAACATGTAGCTTGAGGTGTATTCAGAAAGGAAAGGACTTTTGGAATATGCCCATTGAAGACAGCATAAACTCCTAGATTTCGCCAGACCCTGCTCACCTAAGTGGCACATCAGAGATGCGCAGAAGATAGAAGGTACCTGGCTGGTGAAAGTCTAAAGTTGTCACAAGGAAGGCAAAATACACAGACCACCTATTCAAGAAGCCCAGCCTGGGGATAACTAGAAAGGTATATTCAGACTAAGGTATATATAAATTGAGGATATGCCAGGCAAAGGAGAAAGATATGCACAGGAAATGGAAGAATGTGTGCATAATGTATACTACAGAGGATTCCTGCGATGGTGTAGGCAGAGGTAGAGTCAGACCTTTATGTGAGCCACTGCAACTCAACCTAAGGCAATCTTGGTTTTTTAAGCTATAAATGTGGCTACAAATTCCTTTCTTGCAGGAGTTTTGTCAGGAAGATTAAATAAAATAGCATATGAAAACACACCGAAAATCAGAGTGGGTGCCAAATAGGAGTTCCATGCTTCCTTCACCTGCTCAATAAGCATCACCTAAAATGCAGGCTAAACAGATCTCTGGTCCCCAAACCTGGATGGAAGCACAATTTCCATGGAAGCCATCTGGCAGTTTGCGTGGTTAGCAGATGATGCTTATCAGGGAAATGTGGGAAACATGGCATTATTCACTTCTCCCATAAGGTTCCACATGATGTGGACCACACAGAAATGTCTCCAACAGAAGAAAACAGCTGTGAAATCCAGTCCTCTGCCACTGAATAAGAACACCTACAATTTACAATTTCACAGGAGACAGACTGATGTTTTTAAACGGTATGTCTCTTAATGGTATTCTTCTGTCAATGCTGTCTATTCTTGAGCCTCAAAGGTTTTTATTTTTTTTTTAATTGATTTAGGGCATAAGAACAAACTATCTCCAACAAATCTGCTGAAATGTAGTCAAAATTGCAGTCCCATTTTACCGCACCATGTAAACAACATATGGTGCTATCTGGGACTTGAGGAACTATAGTAAAAATACAGTTCACATCACAAGGAATGAAGATCTCCCCTCCCGGTCTACATGACCACGAGAACAACTTAGGAAACCAGACCAAGGCAACACTTTCTAGAAAAATTCTCTTCTTATAAGCAAAGTTGCCATTATCTAAAAAGCCTCTGTGGAATTTGGCGTTACTCAGAGACAATAAACTAAATAACATCTTTTTTCGCAGATCTTGGTATGAAAAGCGTTCTTAGTGAAACAAAAAAGCAGCAACAACCAACTTGCAAAAGTCAAATCGGCATGCTTTCAAACGGAAAATGACCTGGCAGCCTAAGCAGATTTTCCCAAATATTTAACGTCTCCCTGTAAATAAAAAGACAGCTTTATGGTCTGCAGCTAGGTGAGGAAGATTGAGGACCGGAAAGTCAAACATTCGGGCTAGCCTAAAAGAGGTGGCCCCTGGAGACGCGAAGAGTTATGAGGCTCAAAGGTCAGCGTGGACACCAGACCACAGAGCACGAGGAGCTTCCAGCAGAGCTGCAGTTTCCTTAACTATCCACCCACTCATAGCACCCAGCTGGTCCTCGTAAGGCAAATGGGACTTGCGAGTTTAGAATCGGTGTGATTTCGGATACACTAGCAGTCACCATGTTATTTTCATCCCTACCCCCACACAGTGTTTTTAAACATCATCTTTCAACGGCAACCTCTTCTCCCCCGCCTGCTCCTCCCCAGCGCCCCCGCCAACCCCCGCTGCTGAAAATCCCACAGAAGGTGCTTTGGGTTTGTTTTTGGTTTCTGGGCTGTCGCTTTTCATAGGTTTTCTTTTAAGCCAAAATAACAGCACACAAGAAAGACGCTTGAGATTACTGGGATCTCCGGAACCGGCGGCCGCAAAATGACAAGTTGCTTCGCCCTTATCTTGAAAATTAACAGCAGCCCAAACACTGCAATTTACTCACCGTCCTCCTTTCTCCTAAGCTGCCTTGCTGCTTGTTTTGTTAGGTCTAGTTCTACTGTGGAGGGAAGAAGGGTTTCTCGAAAAACTTTATACGGTAAGAGACCAGAACCTTCCAGACCCCGCAACCCTCCTCGCGTACAGACCCTTTTACAAGAAAACAATAGTGAACCAGGAGCTGGACACTCCTCTTGGCTTCCCAATTGCACAACCCCGCCGGCGATTCGACAAGAGGGTCCCAGAGCAGATTATCTCGGCCCCCACGGCTCCTGGGCTTACCCGCGAGGCTGCGCGCCCCTCCCGCCCTTCACTGGGGCTCCAGGATTCCCGGGCGCCCTCTCGGCGGTGGCTGCGGCGCACCTCGGGTGGCTCGCGGGTCCCAGCGCTCATGGCGCCTTTACGCCTCCGCACGCCACCTCCTTGGTGCTGGCAGGGTATGTGGAGGGGTAAACAGCGCTCCGTGTCCCCACCCCCAACCCTGAGCCTCAGAGGCTGCAAAGCCGGAGGGTCTGGGCAGCACAGACCCCAGGCCGCCCGGACCCCGGCCCAGGACGCGGTCTCCCCGCACCCCAAATCTCCCCCACCCGGGCAATGCAAACCCGCAGCGAAGCCGGCCGGCGAAAGTGACCCGCCAAGGCCCAGGAGCGACGACCGCAGAGGCGCGCCGGGCTCCGCGACCTGGGGGGCCGCTGCTCTCAGCCCGTCCGCGCCGCTCACTCCAGCCGGCTGCTGCCTCTCTCGCGGCGCCTGCGGCATCGGGCCGCAGAAGCCTGAGGCCGGCGGAAACCAGAGGAAGGTGGCGCGGGCCAGGGGCGGCGCGGGCACGATTCCTTCCCCCCGGATCCGGCGGGGGAGCAGAGGAGGGAGCAGCGCTGCCGGGACTCTCAGGCTCCCGCCAGCCAGGATCCCGGGCGACTGCGCTGAGCGCCTCCGGAGTCGCGGGAAGCTCCTCCTGCTCCGCGGCTGGCGCCAGTTGCACGGTGGCCGCGGCCGCCCCCAAATTCGAGGAGGAAGGTGCAAAGTGGTGGGAGGTTGCGGGCCTCGCTATTCCAGGGGAGGTAGGGGGGCGAGGCGGGAGCGCAGCCAAATCCCTACCTTTCGGGCGGGGCGGACACCAGCCGCGCGCCCTCGCCGGGCGCTGGGACCGGAAAATCACCGCGAAGGGAGGGACAGGGAAAGGCGGCGGGTGGCTTCAGGACAAGGTAGGAGGATCGATTTCCACAGCCAAGAAGACACTCCCATCCCGCCCTGGTTTGTTTGGAAAGCTGCAGGAGCTAAAGTGAGGGGTGCGGGTACTCCCCTTCCCCGCCCGGCTGGCAGGCGGCAGAAGTAAATACTGAGGTGTGTCGCGCCGCGGACTGACTGTGACACAAGGCTCAGCAGAAGGTTTGGTCCCTATCAGAAGGGGCGGAGTGTTCAGAGAGCTCCTTAATTCCGTGGCTCTGCCCTTCAAGGTCAAATGTATTCGTACTTTTTATCTTTTGAAGGAGATAATTAGGGAGAACGAAGGTGGAACGTGCTTTTTGCCTTTTCTTTTCTCTCCATAGGAAAAACCCTACGTTATTTATGTCCTCTTACTTGGATGGCTCTGACTACTTTTTATAATGTGTTCGTCAAATAATTCCTTGTCTAGAAACATTCAGGTCATAGCTCCAACCTTTGGGCCCTGAGCAGTGTAATCACGTGTGATCAAATGACCCCAGAGAGAAGACCCACGGACTTGGATGTAATTCAAAGTTGGCAACGTGTCACGCACTGGAACAAAGTCCTTCATCTGTGATGAATTTTCTGGTATTTGTCTTTTTTTTTTTTTTTTTTTTTTTTGAGACAATCTCGCTTTGTCAGGCTGGGGTACAGTAGCATGATGTTGGCTCACTGCAAACTCCGCCTTCCGAGCTCAAGCGATTCTCCTGCCTCAGCCTCCCGAGAAGCTGGGATTACAGGCGCGCCCCACCACGCCCAGCTAGTTTTTGTATTTTTAGTAGAGATGAGGTTTCACTGTGTTGGCCAGGCTGATTTCAAACTCCTGACCTCAAATGATCCACTCGCCTCCACCTCCCAAAGTGCTCTGGTATTTGTCTTCATTGTAACAACAGCCCTAGGAGGTACCATTTGTTATTTTCCCAATCTTACTTAAAAAAAAAACAAAACAAAACAAAACAAAACAAAACAAAACTGGCGGGGCGTGGTGGCTCACACCTGTAATCCCAGCACTTTGGGAGGCTGAGGCGGGCGGATCACGAGGTCAGGAGTTCCAGATCAGCCTGACCAACATGGTGAAACCCCGTCTCTCCTTAAAATACAAAAATTAGCCAGGCGTGGTGCTGCGCACCTGTAATCTCAGCTACTCAGGAAGCTGAGGCAGAAGAATCACTTGAACTCGGGGAGGCGGCAGTCGTAGTGCGCTGAGATGGCGCCATTGCGCTCCAGCTTGGGCGACAGAGCGAGATTCTGTCTAAAAAAAAATCTCAGCAGGTTCAAATTATTCATATTCTTTGCCCTTTCTACAGATTGCCTTTGACATAACCCACACAGATTTTGTAATTTTAAACGTGGCTCTTGAGACATCAGGATAGTGAAAGACTTTGGGGGAAATTATCTGAACTGGCTGGTATTGAGGTTTACTTTGCTCTTTTAATTTCTCCTGGATTCTTCATTGACCTCTTCTTCATGATCTTAAAAACCAAAACTGGGCCAGGCGCGGTGGCTCACGCCTGTAATCCCAGCACTTTGGGAGGCCAAGGCGGGCGGATCATGAGGTCAGGAGATCCAGACCATCCTGGCTAACATGGTGAAACCCCGTCTCTACTAAAAAATACAAAAAAAATTAGCCAGGCGAGGTGGCGGGCGCCTGTAGTCCCAGCTACTCCAGAGGCTGAGGCAGGAGAATGGCGGGAACCTGGGAGGCGGAGCTTGCAGTGAGCCAAGATCGCGCCACTGCACTCCAGCCTGGGTGACAGAGCGGGACTCCGTCTCAAAAAAAAAACCAAAACTGTATTTCACTTCATCCACTCTGGCCTTCCGGACTTTTTGAATCTGCAAAGTAATGTGCAAAGGAGAGAGGCTATCTGCTGTTCTGAGGTGATGTTTGTGTTTCCTATGTGGTAGTGGCCAGTAGTGACTACTGTTGACCCCAACCTAGTTCAAAAGCTGCCTCTTCTGCTGACCTGCTGTGTGACTTTGAGCAAGTGGCATCACCACAGTGGGCTTCTTTTGTGTCAGGTGTAAAGTGAGATAATATAGCTTTTCTTGAAGGGCGATTAGGATTAAAGCAGTCTCTGTTGTAAAGAAGGTTTGGCACGGTGCTTGCCCCCAAAACCATCAATTCAGGAAGTAAAATGTTGACTTTAAAAATAACACTAAAAATATTAACTACCAGACATTGCCCACCATGAGTCAGCCACCCACCATGCATTGTACCTTTTCCTCTCACTCACCCTGCAAGCCAGTCATGGTAGAAAGGAAGGAACAGAGTCAGGTGGTCTAGGGCTGTACTGCCTACATGGGAGCTGTGACTCAAAGGAAAGCACCCGAGGCCAAAATCATTGTTCTTTCTGAGATATCACCGCTATGTAACTCTCTGTGATGGGAGGGGCTTTTGATCTGTGTAACATTAATTTTTAAAAATTCAAGATATATTATTATATGGGCACATGATTGCTATTATGTAAATATTTTATATTCCTGTGGAAACTGACAAAGTCTTAAGTAGGGTGATGTAATTATAAGTCTTTAGTCCTCTCTGGGTTAGTGTTTTTGGTCATTGTTTTGGAGAAATGCTTTCCCAATATATGTATATTTAATTCAGCCTTTTGGTAGAAGATTTCTTCTACTAAGCTGGGAGGGGAAAAGCCACCAAGGAGGGGAGGACTCTTGGGACATGCAAGGTCTATGAAAGGTCCCTAAAATTATAATTTTCAGGCAGTGTACATATAGGGCTGGCCCTGTTTTGCTGGGTTTGTTTTTTTATTATGGTGGTGCAGTCCCTTTGAAATAAATGCTGTTGTTTCATAGACTGTGGCCTCTGCACACCAGTGACAGGTGAAGGCCAGGTTCCCTCACATTACTATGGGAGGCCATTCAGCACTAAATGTGTACTCTAGAATACACCAAAGTATTTCTTCCTCATCCCCATCGAAGGGCCTGCCTTCTAAATTCTCCTGTTCTGTGCCAAGTACAGCCTTTTCTACCATAATTGATGGCAAGAATGTCTACTCCTTGTAGGAGAGACCTACTCATAAGGGTGTTCTCTCAGCAAGACAATCAGATCAGATCACAGTAGGTGAACCCCAGGACTGGAGCTACCTATAAAGTGACACAAGGCCACTTTCTGATAACATCCTCTTAGAATAATTTTTAAAACTTGAAAAAAATTTTTTTTTCCTTTACAGTACATGATGTTCAAAAGGTTTCTTTTTAAAAACAGTTTTCCAGGTCGAGTTCAATGTTTTTTTTTAATTTGACACATTGGTCAGAGAACATCGAGTTCAATTTTAAACACTATCTGACTCATGACCGAGCTTGACCAAGCTAATGGTTTTTAGATACAATCCTTGCTCCAACTCAAGGAGAAAATCCTGCCAGTGCAATCTTCTGTCTTGGAGTTTTATCTCCTATAAGCAATTATTTAAAGAACATGAGCATCTCAAAGAGAATAAACCACAGTGGACCAGGCACAGTGGCTCAAGCCTGTAATCCCAGCACTTTGGGAGGCTGAGGTGGGTGGATCACGAGGTCACAAGTTCGAGACCAGCCTGACCAACATGGTGAAACCCTAGCTCTACTAAAAATACAAAAAATTAGCCGGGCGTGGTGGCGCACACCTGTAATCCCAGCTACTCAGGAGGCTGAGACAGAAGAATCGCTTGAGGATGGGAGGCAGAGGCTGGAGTGAGCTGAGATCGTGCCCCTGCACTCCAGCCTGGGCTACAAGCGAGATTATGTCTCAAAACAAAAGAATAAGCCACAGTGTCTAAGCAGTCTAAATCCTGACTTAGAGCTATGACTGTCCACGGCGTAGAAAATGTATCACATTAGCAAAAAGCAGTTTAGTTGCGGTAAGCAGAGTCATACTTCTCCAAAATCTCTATTTCAGACTACAGTCTCAACTACATTTTTGCATATGTAAATATCCATAGTGATGATTTTCCCACTATTGTGATTGTACAAAAAAGGAAGTCAAGTCTACCAGGAAGCTTATTTGCAACTTCATAAATGATGATGTCCTTATGTTCTGCCAGTTTTGCCAAAGTTTCAGGGGTCTTAGTTGCTCAGTCTCTTTTACCACAGGCTGGAGGGTGAGGGGAGGTGGGATGGTGGGACTGGGGACAGGTTCATCACAGACTCCTGAACATGTAGAGCATCTGTATGGTGGAAACCGTAAATAGGGCAATGGACAGAAAATAAGTGCAACGTATTATTTTTTAAAAGGGAGACTATCCAGAATACGTTACAAAAAATGCCTATGGATCAGTACCCAAAAAAACCTATTTTAAAATAGAACACAGCCATAAACAAGCAATTCATACAATAAATATAAGGACCAGGTATGGTGGCTTACGCCTGTAATCCCAGCACTTTGGGAGGAGGCCGAGGCGGGCAGATCACCTGAGGTCAGGAGTTTGAGACCAGCCTGGCCAACATGGTGAAACCCCGTCTCTACTAAAAATACAAAAATTAGCCAGGTACGATGGCAGGCACCTGTAATCCCAGGTACTAGGAAGGCTGAGGCAAGAGAATTGTTTGAATCTGGGAGGCAGGGGTTGCAGTGAGCCAAGATCGTGCCACTGTACTCCAGCCTGGGCGACAGTGAGATTCTGCCTCAAAAAAAAAAGAAGAAGAAAAGAAAAATACAAATAGTTTACAAGCATGTGCAAAACTTTATGTCCTTTTATAATAACACTACTTTTAAAAATAAAAAATATTGAGAAATAAGATTGGCTGAAATGCCGGGCGCGGTGGCTCAAGCCTGTAATCTCAGCACTTTGGGAGGCCCAGACGGGCAGATCACAAGGTCAGGAGATCGAGACCATCCTGGCTAACACGGGGAAACCCCGTCTCTACTAAAAATACAAAAAAACTAGCCGGGCGAGGTGGCAGGCGCCTGTAGTCCCAGCTACTTGGGAGACTGAGGCAGGAGAATGGCGTAAACCCGGGAGGCGGAGATCCAGCCACTGCACTCCAGCCTGGGCGACAGAATGAGACTCTGTCTCAAAAAAAAAAAAAAAAAAAAAGATTGGCTGAAATTAAAAAATGAATGAGATATAATTTTGTCAAAAGACATCAGAAAACTTTATGGAATTATAAAGTGCTACTTCCTTTTTAGAGGGCAATTTGGTGATTGCTATCAAATTTACAAGGTTCTTTAGGGTTTGAATTTCAAAACCCTGA